CCAGAAATAGTTACACAATTTAATGGAGACAAAGATGCAGAACACAGTTATAATGATTCTGTATGGCTTAGAAATGCATTGTTATAACATAGTGATCTACTGTTTTATCTAAATCAGCATATTGTTAATTAAAAAAACTCTTATAGGAAGATCCTTTTAGTACAAGAGAAAACTCAGGTTTTAAATTAGTGCTCTATGCTTAAAACCAATCGTTAGATTAATGCAATTGATTGTCCTCTACTTTTAAGTATATAAAAATTAACTACTGGTTATGACACCATGACTTAAAAAAAGGATTCAAAACCTCAAAAAAACAAGGATCCTTGTAGTAGTATGATGGAGCTCAAAAATGGCTTCTTCATCCGATTCAAGCCAAAAAAATGCAAATACAGAAACAAAACTAAACATCTGCCAAGCTTTTGACTGCACCTTTCTTTCTGGACAGGCAAGTTCAATGTTTTCTAATGCAAAATATAAGTTAGCATTAACATACTTCACAACTGCCTGAGAAAATTTAGAGATTCAAATTTGGATTGAAAGCGCTCCAGTTATTGGTTGGGATGAGTTAAACTTGTGGATATCACCTTTAAAATTTCAACATGTGCTCTAGAACAGGTTTTCTGTTAATATTAAAATGCATTAAAAGGAAAATCAGAAAGAAACTGTGCATCATAAATTTTAATAGGATCTTTGCTATTTAAGATGCTTGACTAAAATTTTGCCATAGACTGAATTATTTGGACCCTGCTATAAAGAAAATGCTTTAACATAAACCAAATACCACAGTGCAGGAAAGCACATAAGTACAGTTAAGCATGCCACTATAAGTGGCATTGTTCTGGGATGCAGGACCTAGCTCACTCAACAAAAAACAATCATGAATACTGTGAATCACATTGTGTTTGGGGACTAGACTTGCCTAAAAAAAAAAAGCAAAAAAACATAATTTAATAAGCAACAGGGCTACCATAAGACCCTGGTTCTCTGGTGCTGCATGAGTGGCAACTCACAGGAGGGAAAATACCCATCCTTTCACTCATAGCTCTAAACTGTCTCCAATAAAACAGGGTGTCCCAAGAAGGGCTGAGCAACAAATAAGAGATTTTAAATAAAGAATGTTTTCAAGAGATATGAGATAAAAACTATACCATTTATAAAGGGATCTACACTGAGTTATAGTTATACTAAAACATCTACCAGGAGGTTACTTTATTTTTCAGTTGCTTGTTATGTCTATGTGCAGCTGTTTGTTAAAAAAAAGTGCTTGCTTGATATTTGGAATAAAGCTTTGATTAGAGAAGATTTTTTTTTAAATAAAGATATCGTACATTATCATGCAGCTTCAAAATATGATTTTTGGTCCATATTACCTAGGCCTAGTCCCTCGGTCAGACTGAAAACTTTATTGTCGCTTATTCAAACAAAAAGGCTGTTTTTTTTTTACCGTTTAAAACATCGGCTTTGGACTAATGCCCAAAAAAAAAAAAAACAGTAGTGATAGAAAATACTGACAATGAGCATGTATCATTATAATGTTAAAGATTTCACCTCAACTCCACATGAAGGATTTGGTGTGACCACCTGCACTAGGGAGATCATTGAGCGAAACTAATCCTATGCTGCAATGGCCGCTCCAGCTGACAGCTCACAGAAAATGTTTCTACACTTCTGCATGATCTGACACACTAAAATAATGCCTTTTTTAGAACAGCTCATTCACTTTGCCTTTAAGAGTTGTACTTAATGACAAGGTTGAAATCTATTTATTGTGAGTTATTCTGCTCTTCTGATTTTATAAAGCAGATGTTTTTACATCCAAAAAAGTGCAAAAAAGTTGTAGACCAGCAGAGAGATACAAAAAACAAAAATGCTAGGGAAAAACATTTAAATGTATCTTTGCAGACGTTCGCCAAAAACAGCCCACAACCGTAAGTAAAGAAAGGCTAGAATGAAGGAATAGTAATAGGTAGCTTAAACATGTAACATAATACAACTACCCGACCCTACAGTTTCCACCAAGCTCCAACACAAGTACATGACATCAGAAATATGTTCTATGACGTGGGACAAAACAACAATACGTTTAGTTTCCAGGGCTGGTTTATATGATTCAATGTCTCCTTATTTCTAAAATGAACAAGTGTTCAAAACATTACCCTCTGACATCTTAAGTTTTTTTCTGCCGTTGATAGTTTTCAAGGTGTGTTTTGACTCCAGTATGAGGCATGTGAGTAAAACATGACCGCATTAGTAGAAAAAAAGGTCTTTCTGACAGAAAAGACCTGTTATTTAAAAAACATCTATCAATGCTTCAACATATTTACACGGAGAGGTTGCATGCATTATTCCTTTAGTGCTAGTCATTTGGTGCATTTGGGATTTTGTTCATTTGCCACTGAAGTTGTTTTTGATCCCAAATGGGATTTAGAAACAATATAAATAATAAAGAAAATTTTAAAAAAACTTTTCAACATTTTTCTATCATCATTTCTGAAACACTCAACTAAAAAAACAAAAATATGTGGATATGTGTTGTTTATTAATACAAATAATTGATTTTTAGACCTATAACAGAACCTCAAATTGACTATATGGAAATTCAAACAGAAGGAAAGAATAGATCCAGAGTTTCGAAAAGATCAAAATTTCTCATTGGTTACTCACATCAGGTTTAATCTAGATTTCAAAAGAGCCAAAATGTTCAGTGGAATTAAAGTGGTTTTAAAAAAGGTACAAAAAAGAAAAAAAAAAATGCCCACTGGGCATTTCTCTATCTGTATGGCATCCCATCAAGCTGTTCACTGACTGTCAGCTGGCTTAAAAAAAAACTTCCAAACTAACAAATAATAACAGTAATAATAATAATAATAATGACAAAAGAAAAAAAAAACAATCAGCCATGGCTATTTAAAGGTTTATCTTTTCATAAAAAAAAGAAAAAACACAAATTCATGGTTTGGAGATTAACAGACTGTGATCATCTTATTAAGATAAGGCTATTTTGAAATTACAGATGGCAGGCTCTAATTGGCCAAATGAAGGCTTGCACTACCAGTAGACAACTCAAGTTACAAACATCAGATTCTATATTAGTGTAAACCAATGAAATATAAACTACAACACTCTGCCAAAAAGCAAGCCAGAATTTCATAAACACTGAACCTACAGTAATCTACTCGTTATAATTTCAATGCAGCATAGATAATTGCTTTTCCTTTAAAGATACAGACTTTCACTTTTCCGCTACACTTATTCCTGCAGGTTATGACCTCAAACCAAAGCCACTACTTCAAAACAACAGCCCTGCAAATGTCCAGATACACTTATATGCAATAAATAATTTCCAAATCTGTTAGGAAAACGTGCAGGAAAAACACCAACTGAGCAACACAACTAATTAGGTCAAAGGATCCTCTTTGCATCTTCTAGATTAAAGAAAATAGCAGTAAATGGGACGATGGCTGTCTTTTTACTCAGTAAAGGTGAGCAGCTTTACAGCGTTTTAAATAAATTCTGCTGCAACAAACAACCACAAAAAAAAAAAGATTGTTTTGCCATTGCTGAGTGATCAGGATAATCTGAGGTCAAAGGGCTCAAACAGAGGACCTGACTGATGATTTCAGTAAATCATTACAGACTTTTCAATATGCTGAGGACACTTAATGAAACACTTGCTGAACTTGAAGGCTATTCTTAGAACACAGTGGGGTCTAATTCAGATCTCCCCTCTTCTATTAAAAGTATTGTATCAATCCTATAATATAACCTCTGAGACATTCCTGCTTGGCTTCCATTAAAACATTATGTAATGAGTCCACAGATAACGGCTGCACTCTAGGATGACTCGCAGACATTTGATAAGTGAACAGCAGCTCGCCACCTCGTTGCAAAGCTACGGTAGAAAAAGTATTTTAAGATCATTAGGGAAAAAAAGGTTTTGCTCCGAGGTAGGAAACACATGGGGACACCGCTGGCTCAAGAGCAAAGGGAGGGTGATTTTTAATTGGATAAGGAGTGATCCCTTCAACTGCACACCGAAAGGTGTCCATTTCAATTCCGACGATAATCTCCAAGACGCTATTGCTCCTGGTAATTCGCAAAAAATAAATAAATAAAAAGAAAAGAAAGAAAAGGCGGTAGTTTTGTGCTGGTCGTCAATCAACCGTTAAATAACGGTTAATTCCGAGGAGCAGTAGAGGACAAGGTAACGGAAAACGGTTAAAGCTGACACCTCGAAGTGGAATAAAAATGCGGCTGTCGGTGAGATTGAAATAATAAAAAAAACGTTATTTGTTCGCCTATTAAAAAAAAAAGACGGTTTACTGTGGCCACAGTGGGGGTGATAAGACAGCTGCACGAGGAGCCCACTCAACACGGTACCCAAATTTACAGCAAACGGCAAAAAAAAATTAAACTACCTGAGAATATATTATTTTAAACAGGTAACGCCGTTAAATCCGTAAACCGTGTAATACGGTTAAACCTGTTCAATTTGCATACATTTCACGGAAAGCGTCAAGTTTAAAGCGCTACAGGTATTCGGTAAACGAACCGTTAAAGCCGTTTACGGTGTTAGCCGACTAGCTACCACACCGTAGCCTGTGATGGTTGTAAGGAGGGAAATACAACACAAAATGTGCTTCTTATTGATTGACAAGTCGAAAAACTTATACAAGAGCTGAGCGGGATTCACATTAAATTAAACACGAGGAAACGGAAGACTGTAGCATCCCCCAAATGCTACTACCCACCTGGGTTTGGAAATGAAACGCCCAATGTCACTATCAAACCCAGATATAACGAAAGCTAACGGTGTTAGCTTCGGTACAGTAGGCAGTTACCCTTCCAGACGCTGGCCCTCGCTGATCACTGCACACCCAAAATGAAGAATTTATTCCAGCTCCTGCTTTTTCATGCAGTGTCCACACACACTGAAAACCATTTATCACGTGACAATTCTCTCGCTCTGCTAAGAAATAAACCCGAAAATATATACTTACTCCGAGAGCAATCCCTGTCCGTTTCACTCCTCACTCCCCCTCAGTCTCACCGAAGACTAGACTCGTTGCCCCGATCTGAGGTAAGGCCCCGCCCACTGCGTTGTCACAGTCACAATCAAAGATCGAACGTGTCAAGATAGTTCCCACCCAAGCCTAGCTCTAGTTATCAGACATTAGTAGACAGTAAACCATTGGTGTAGTAATAAAACTAAAATGAGACCAATTGATACAGTGAGGATTACTATTTTTGCTTAAAAATTTAAGGTTAAAATATCCAATTAACAAACTCAAAATAATGAGTTCTTTTTCCTCTTCTAAACTCAGCCAAATTGAAGCTCTACACAATGAAAAAAATAAATGAATAAAGAAAATTTTGTAAATTCAAATGATGAATAAAAAAAAACGTTGATTTAGTAAATATGGATACCATAGGATTCCATCTACTAAATATAATTTTGATTTTATGACATTTATGTTATATTTTATATTATTTCTCTCTTTTTTATTTTCTTTTTATTTACATTGATAACAAAATTCCATCCATTTATCCCGATAAGAAATTATATTTAATAGTAATTACAACGAGGCTTTAAACGAAGGCGGAAATACACTACGGGGTATCATATTGCTTTGCATATTTGTCTTCTGTCACAACACCGCCGGAGACATGTGATACACGTCAAAAGGAGGATGGGTACGGACCGCTGGTGTGGATTCCCATTGGCCGAGCCCGCATATCAGTCGCCTATGGAAACGGTTACGTCATGATCCCCTCGTATTCCCTCTTCGCTCCGCCGTCGCTTTATAATAACAGGATTATTGAACAGTTCCCTCCATCATTTAAGGCAGCCAGTGAAAAGCACACAGAGAAAGATTACCGTGTTGGCTCTACAGTCCTGCTGTCTGCAACACAAGGCTCTTCCCTCAGCGCTAATTCAAACCTGACGTCACTGTTTCCATGATGTAGCGCGTTTTTTTTTTTTCTTCTTCTCCCGATTGAAAGGCTGCAATAATCGCGATTCCCCAGCACTGACGAGAACTAGCGTATTTGGCAAACCCACCCCTGGCTGGGTGGCTGCTACAGGAAGAGCAGAGCCCAGTAACAAAGTGAGCAGAAGTCAATCCCTTTAGTGGGTAATCTAATAAAAACTAAACAGCAAGTATGTTCTGCACTGCAGAACAATTGCAGGTGCACCTTAATAAATCTGTTTATAATCTGAAATCTCGTTTTTGTCAGTTATTCAATTTAGGAAAATCAAACTAAATTAAACATATTATTCACTGTAATATAACAATCTCAGAACATTTTTGTAGAAAAAAGGAGTGCTGACACCTGGTCAGTAATCCTTTGTATGAATCATTTTATCCAGGCAGCCTGATGTGGAGGATTTCATCCTTGGGCTCCACTGAGCTATCAAGGAAAGCCCAGTCCACCTTAAGACTGGCCTTCAAGTTGACTTTATTGTTCACTCTGGTGTTTAACATTTTTCTTAACCCAACAGATTTCACGGATTGCTTATAGGGTTTAGGTCAGGGAAGTTTGGGGCCGATGGGATCTTGGACCCAAGGAAACCCACAGCACCAACAGCAGGAGGTGACATTTGCCCTCAAACAAATTGGAGAAAAGGACTTTAGACCATTGAGAAAACAATGCAGCCCCTTTATTTTTCATTGTTGTTGCATCATCATATTGTCTTGGGTTCAATAGTGCATGTCCCAGATACATTTGTATTGTGGCTCCTGAGGCCCTTACTCCAACCTCACTACACCGATTCTTGCTTTTGTGCCTCTTTCCCCCCTTTTATTTACATTTCCTTTGATATGCCTGAACATGTTTTTTAACAAAAGCCTGTTACTGCAGACTGTTTTTCCCATTTGTGTAGGCTGTTAAATAGCATTTTCATATAAAAAAAAATTTATTGACTCTTATCATAAATTTATATATTTAATATTCCATCCATCCATATTCCATCACACTTATCCCAAGCGGGGGGCGCGAGGGGTACTGGTGGTGCCTATCTCCAGTTGTCTACGGGCAAGAGGCGGGGCCCACCCTGGACAGGTCGCCAGTCCATTGCAGGGCAACACAGAGACAAACAACCATTCACACTCAGACCTAAGGAAACAGGGAGAACATGCAAACTCCATGCAGAAATACCCTGGTCTGGGAATCGAACCCAGAACCTTCTTCCTTCAAGGAATCAGTGCTACCACTGAGCAGCCCTTGTAAATAAGCATTTAATGTTATTTACAACTATTTGGTTTTAAGTAGAGGTGGAATCCACAATAATCCAAGTTAAAAGGGGTAAATGCATAGAAAACATTACTTATAAAGCGCTACTTTCTGAACTAAATGAATAAAAGAAGTTATACGAACATTCTGATAAAATTCCATCATCTTGGAGTAACTGACCGAGTCTTTGATGTTCTTGGATTGATTCAAGATCCCATCTTAGAAAATAATAAAGTTAAGGTCAAACTGCAGTGTAATACTCTAGTTGTTTAAGCATAATGGGATTTATTATTAACACAATAGACCACATTACACAAACCCATGAGGTGTATCTTTTCAGATTTGTAAACATTTAAAAGGTCAACATGTTCTTGTTTGTGTGTGACTTCCCGCTGGAAATTTTCAGTTCAGAATTTCCATGTGAGATAGATGTCAAAGGGGAACAGAAGCTGAAAAGGGGAAAAAAAAAAAAGATTTTTTTTTTTCACTGCATAGCCTTGCAGAACAAGTGTGTGATTTGACTATGGTTTAGTGAAAAGCAAAATGAGGAACTATAAGTTAAGCTGCATAGATAGGCAAAAACTATGAAATCAATTTTTGAGCAAACTGAAATGTTGCAAGCAGTCATCCCTGACTGTGTTAAGCCCCCACCCTTGTGTGACTTTTGTACTGTCATTTTCCTGATCTAAAACTTCAACAAAGTCCATCTCAGGTGCTGATGTTTCTCTTTTCACAACCAGCAGTGACGTAAGACTCAGCTGACCTACCAGGGTTAATTTGCAAGGCTTTTAAAGTGGTGGCATAAAAGAAAAATCTATATTCATTTCCTTTATCTTCTCAGAGTGTGTTTCACAGCAGTGTTTTTTGTGGTTTCTTCAGTGACTCTCTGTACAGCTTTAAGCATGTTAACCCTGAGCAGAATTCTCCAACCAGACCACTGAAGATACTCATTTCTTGTTTTTCTATACATCTGTCAGTTTCCACATCATCCCTCCCTCTTTTATCTCTTGTTCAAATAATGCAGAGCTCATGGAAGTAACTGACAAGCAGAAGACAAACACTTACAGCAGGGTGTTTTTATTTGTGTGCAGGAGACCAGCTGCTTTTCAGCCAAAAGAAAGTTGATTTTATACTAAGCTTTATGCGCCTGCAGAAACATAATCGCCTAAAAATCCCAGATTAACAAAATTAACTTGTGATCTCCAGAGTGAGCTAAACTAGCAGCAGCCTATTTCCGCTACTTGTGAAATATTAAACAATAAGCTGCTGACAATTATGTGCGTGATCTTTTTATCTCACAACTGACCACAAAGTCAACAAGTCTACAAGTTTCATTTAATCAGAACACAAAAAGCAATGCATAATGCAATGGTTTAACTATGAATGATTGGTGGAAGGTTATTACAATTTAAATGTTCATGCAGAACTTCCATAACACTTCTTTACCGTAGGGGAATTATGTTTTTAGTTTCTGTTTTAAAAACAGATACACTAAGAAGATGGATTTGGCTTTGAAATGCTAATGCCTGGTGTCCAGTCTAACCTCCAGCTTCTTAATCTGCAGTATGATGAGTGGCCACTGTCATTAGTTGGATTGATTCTAGGCTATACAAGGTGAAGGCACTCTGATGCAGAGGTAATAATAAAGCTAAAACTTTATGGAGTTTTTCTCACTTTGCTTGCATATAAAATTAAATTATAACGAGTGTAGAGAGAAATATTCAAACAAATTAAAAGATAAACCTAAGCAAACAATAGTCAGACAATAACGAGGTCTAGTTGCTGTTATTTACCTGAGAGATCTGAATCTTATTCGGGAATAACATTGTATTGTGTTTTTAGCTGTATGATGAAAAATCCATGGGGTGCAACATTCTTAGAGGAAACAACTGCTATTACTTATGATGAGAACAAATCAGCATGAATAGAATATCTAAAGTAATACTGCAGCTTTTAAATCCACTTGAACACTAAGCGTTGACTATGTCGCTTGAAGTATCATATCACTGGTGCAAAGCTCGAACATGCTTGACATTAAGGTTGCAAACTTTAGTCTTGACAGTCTTTTTTAGTGGAATATTAATTAAATCAATTACAAAATGTTGCTCAGGTTATGAACCAGCAATGATGCCCAATTTTTCTTTCTGGGAAAAAAAAAAATGAAACTTATATTGATCATATCTTTGTCAAGAAAGCTATAGAACTTTAAATTTAACTTCCTATCAACACCGCAGTGTCTATTGGGACTTTATTTCAGACACAGGTACACAGTAAATAACAATATATGTCCTTGTAACATCAATTAAAAAGAAAAAACAGTCTGAAAAAGGGTATATTGGCAGAAGCAATAAGCTTATAGTGCCCCGACCTCAAAATCTTATAATACATACCAAAACTGGATTTCAAGAACCACTGTTCAAGCAGATTTAAACCTGATTTTAATCAATGTAAACACCTGAAAGCCCCTGAATTAAGTTAGAGGGTAATTCATCAAATGTTTGCAATTTGTATTTTATTCATAAAAGTGACAAAATCCCATTTAAAATAAAAAATCTGTTGAGATTATAATGAAATATCCACCAGATATTTACTGACCAGAGACCAAAATTAAACAAAGAAAAAAAAATCATAATAAACAGCTTAGCTTAAACCTTCCACTAATGGGACAATAAAGGATCCGAACACTTCTTGTTTTTAAATTGGTCAAGACTGATCGTTTCCCCCATAGCTGCTGTCTTGAACCTTGTTGTTGACTCAGTTTCTCTGTGGAAATTTGCCAGATGCTCTGGAGCATCTCATGAACTACAGTAAATGTCAAGTGTCATCAGCTTTTCTGCATGCTAATGTGTTGTTCATGCAGT